CCCCCCCCCCCCTCCCGCAGGCAGCCAGCGAGCCATCTTCCGGCAGGCGATGCGGCACTGGGAGAAACACACCTGTGTCACCTTCCTGGAGCGCAACGACGAGGACAGCTACATCGTCTTCACCTACCGCCCATGTGGGTAGGTCAAAGAAAGAGCTGGGAGGGGTCCCAAGCACGTCCCGGGACCACCTTGGCTCTCAAACTGTGAAGGGGGATGCTGGGCTGATGTGGCTTGGGACTGGGATGCCCACATTGGCGTGTGCGTGGTGCCAACGGGCTGGCCCAGACCCTTCTGGGTCTTCAAAGTGTGGCTTGGGTTGGAAGGGACCTTAAGGATCATCTCATCATCTCATCTCATCTCATCTCATCTCCATATCTCCATCTCCATCTCATCTCATCTCATCTCCATATCTCCATCTCCATCTCCATCTCATCATCTCCATCTCCATATCTCCATCTCCATATCTCCATCTCATCTCATCTCATCTCATCTCATATCTCATCCTCCTTCTACCCCCTTTCCATGGGCAGGGACACCTCCCACCAGACCAGGTTGCTCCAAGCCCCCTCCAACCTGCCCTTCAACCCCTCCAGGGATGGGGCAGCCACAGCTTCTCAGGGCAACCTGTTCCAGGCTCTCACCACCCTCACACCAAAGAAGTTCTTCCCCACATCTCAGCTCCATCTCCCCTCTTTCAGGGTCAAACCCTTCCCTCTTGTCTTAGAGCTTCCCTCCCTCACCAAGAGTGCCCCCCCAGCTTTCCTGGAGCCCCTTGAGGGACTGGAAGGGGCTCCAAGGTCTCCCCAGAGCCTTCTCTTCTCCAGGCTGAACCCCCCAACTCTCCCAGCCTGTCCCACCAGCCCTGATGCTCCCAGCCTGACTCATGGAATCACTGGGATGCCCCACACCTCAGGGACATCCCCACTCCCACCCCCGGAAAGCCGGGGCTCAGCTGGTACCCCCCACCTTTCCCACCCCCCCAGGTGCTGTTCCTACGTGGGTCGCCGAGGAGGGGGACCCCAGGCCATCTCCATCGGCAAAAACTGTGACAAATTTGGCATCGTGGTGCACGAGCTGGGCCACGTCATCGGGTTTTGGCACGAGCACACGCGCCCCGACCGGGATGACCACGTCTCCATCATCCGGGAGAACATCCAGCCAGGTAGGGAGCAGCCTCCACCCCCTTCTTCTTCCTCCTCTTCCTTCCTGCCATGGAGGGGGCTGCAAAAAATGGGGTCCCCTCCCTGATGGTGTCCCCATCCCACCTCCCTCCCCAGGGCAGGAGTACAACTTCTTGAAGATGGAGCCGGAGGAGGTGGAGTCGCTGGGTGAGACCTACGACTTCGACAGCATCATGCACTACGCCAGGAACACCTTCTCCAGGTACGTACCCCCCACCAGACACCCCCGGGGGGGAGCTCATCCACCTCTCCCCCTCCTCCCCGCAACCCTATCCCACCTCCCTCCCCAGGGCAGGAGTACAACTTCTTGAAGATGGAGCCGGAGGAGGTGGAGTCGCTGGGTGAGACCTACGACTTCGACAGCATCATGCACTACGCCAGGAACACCTTCTCCAGGTACGTACCCCCCCCCAGCCCCTCGGGGGGGGGCTCATCCACCTCTCCCCCTCCTCCCCGCAACCCTGGGGATGGTGGTACGGGGTCCCCAGCCCCAGAGGACAGTGCCCACAAACCCTGGTGATGGCCACATCCAAGGGCTGGGGAGAGCCCCATGGGGGTCTGATGGGGTTTGGGGTCCAGACTCCCCCTACTCCCCACCACTACCCTTCCCCTGCTCTTTCCAGGGGCTGGGGAGAGCCCCAAGGGGGTCTGATGGGGTTTGGGGTCCAGACTCCCCCTACTCCCCACCACTACCCTTCCCCTGCTCTTCCTGGGGGCTGGCGAGGGCAGGGGGTGCCCAGGACCACCCGGTGGCCACTGGTGGCCCAGAAACCTAGTGTGAACCCCCTTCCACCTTGTGCTGGCCACATCCAGGGACTGGGGGGGGTACGGCGTCCCCAGCCCCAGAGGACAGTGCCCACAAACCCTGGTGATGTCCACATCCAGGGGCTGAGGAGAGCCCCAAGGGGGTCTGATGGGGTTTGTGGTCCAGTCTCTCCCAGTCCCACCACTGCCATTCTCTGGGGATGGTGGTACGGGGTCCCCAGCCCCAGAGGACAGTGCCCACAAACCCTGGTGATGGCCACATCCAAGGGCTGGGGAGAGCCCCATGGGGGTCTGATGGGGTTTGGGGTCCAGACCCCCCCTACTCCCCACCACTGCCATTCCCCTGCCCTTCCCCGGGGACTGGCGAGGGCAGGGGGTGCCCAGGACCACCCAGTGGCCACTGGTGGCCCACAAACCCTGGTGATGGCCACATCCAGGGGCTGGGGAGAGCCCCATGGGGGTCTGATGGGATTTGGGGTCCAGTCCCCCCTAGTCCCACCACTGCCATTCCCCTGCCCTTCCCCGGGGGCTGGTGAGGGCAGGGGGTGCCCAGGACCACTTGTTGGTCCCTGGTGTCCACAAACCCTGGCACTGGCCACATCCAGAGGACAGTGGCCTGGGGTCCTCCTCCCCAGAGGACCAGGTTAAGCAGCACGGGGGTTAATTCCACCCGGTGCCGTGTCCCAGCACACGGGGGGCAGGATGAAACCCCTCGGGGGCAGGATGAAACCCCTCACCATCCCTCTCCAGGGCAGGGACGGTGCTGTCCCCATGTCACCTCTGTCGGGGACACCTCCCCCATGACTCACCAGCCCCGGGCTTTAATTAGCCAGGCTGTCTTTAGCATCCTGCCCGCAGCCCCGGTGCTTTCCAGCCACCGCTGCTCATCCTCTTCCTCCTCTCTCACCCCAGGAGCATCTTCCTGCTCATCCTCTTCCTCCTCTCTCGCCCCAGGGGCATCTTCCTGCTCATCCTCTTCCTCCTCTCTCGCCCCAGGGGCATCTTCCTGCTCATCCTCTTCCTCCTCTCTCGGCCCAGGGGCATCTTCCTGCTCATCCTCTTCCTCCTCTCTCGCCCCAGGGGCATCTTCCTGCTCATCCTCTTCCTCCTCATCCTCTTCCTGTTCATCCTCTTCCTCCTCTCTCGGCCCAGGGGCATCTTCCTGCTCATCCTCTTCCTCCTCTCTTGGCCCGGGGACATCTTCCTGCTCATCCTCTTCCTCCTCTCTTGCTCCAGGGGCATCTTCCTGGACACCATCCTGCCCAAGTACGACGTCAACGGGGTCCGACCCGCCATCGGCCAGAGGACACGGCTGAGCAAAGGGGACATCGCCCAGGCCCGCAAGCTCTACCGCTGCCCGGGTGAGTGCCACCAGGACGGCTCTGCCCGTCCCCCCCCGGGGTGACACGGCACTTCCAGGGGGGGCTTGGAGCCTGCACGGGGCCCTATCTGCTGGGGAACGCCTCTGCTGGCACCCCAAGACTTGACAAAGGAAACATCACCCTGGCTGGATTCCCTGTTTCCAGTGGAAAAAAAAAAAAAAATGGTTTTTTTGGGAGGGTCCTCCTCACCACCAGACCCCCCTCGAGAAGCAGGCGAGTTGCTTTTCTCCATCCACGGCGTTTTTCTTGGGGGGGGGAGCTGTGAGCAGAAGTGAAATGCAAGACCTCGGTGAGCC